CCCCAAAACCCCAAAACCCCAAAACCCCAAAACCCCGCAATTATTAAATAAATTGAATCAATTTGCACAAAATGGAAGTTGACGAAGCCCCACTTGAGAAAGTAACTAGAGAAGCTAGAGACCATTTACCCTTTGTTGAGAAATACAGACCAGATTCCCTTGATGATATTATCTCGCATACAGAAATTATTGATACTGTCTGTAAATTTGTAGATGAGAGGAAGCTACCTCATTTGTTATTCCATGGACCTCCAGGTACAGGTAAAACTTCATGAATCCTAGCCATTGCTAAAAAGATGTATGGCAAGCATTACCATAATATGATCTTGGAGCTTAACGCATCTGATGAGAGAGGAATTAGTGTTGTCAGAGACAAGATTAAAGCCTTTTGCTCCACACAGCAAATTATTAACAAAGGTTTGAAGCTAGTCATCCTTGACGAATGAGATGCAATTACAAGTGCAGCACAGTTCGCACTTAGAAGAGTAGTTGAGAAATTTACTAAAAATACCAGATTCTGCTTTATCTGTAATTATGTGTCAAAGGTCATCCCTGCTTTGCAAAGTAGATGTACAAGATTTAGATTCTCTCCACTCAAAAATGAGCATATTGTGGGAAAACTAGATGACATTACCAAAGCAGAGAAATTGAAGGTCACTAAAGGAGCCAAGGAATCTATTATAACTCTCTCTGAAGGTGATATGAGGAAAGTCCTTAACATTCTAGAAAGCGCTTCGCTTGCCCATGATAAAATATCTGAGGAAGATATTTACTCTTGTACAGGAAAACCTTCTCCTTCAGATACTGAGAAAATCATGGAGAGTTTGCTACAGGATGATTTCAAGGAAGCTTTTGAGACTTTCATGACTCTTAAGACCGCCAAAAGCTTAACTTTAGAGGACCTTGTTAGAAGTCTCCATAAATCAGTGATGAGTACAGACCTCAATAACAAAATCAAGATCTTTTTGGTAAAGAGACTAGCCAATGTTGAGCAAAGAATTGCAATTGGCTGAAATGAGAAGTTACAAGTCTCCTCAATAGTAGGAGCTTTTATAGAGATTAGAACTTTGAAGAAGTAAGAGACTGATGAATTCTGTATATTCAAAAATTTTAAAGAAAAATGGGGTTTTGGGGTTTTGGGGTTTTGGGGTTTTGGGG